ACCTCCCAGGTTCAAGTGATTCTCCTGCCTCAGTCTCCTAAGCAGCTGGGATTACAGGCATGCACCACCACACCCAGCTAATTTTTGTATTTTTAATAGAGACGGGGTTTCACCATGTTGGTCAGGCTGGTCTCGAACTCCTGACCTCACGATCTGCCTGCCTCGGCCTCCCAAAGTGCTGAGATTACAGGCGTGAGCCACCACACCCAGCCTCAAAATGTTTTAGCTGACAACGAATACTAATTACTGATTCATAGAGACAACTGTTTTAAGTCTGCATATAGGACTGTCAAATATAGTTTGATAGCAATGCTGTTTCATAGATTGAGGGTCCAAACAGCCCATATAGGATTGTCATCAGGTTCCACATATCTAGATATCATATCTAGATCTAAAGCAAGTTGGGGTAAAACATTCTATTGGAATAGAGTCTGTCATTTAAATATATTTGATTGCTAATTACAGATTGTTCCTACAGTAACCAACCCTCTGCCAATTCCTAGAAAGTAAAAGGTGTGTTATGGCAAAAACAGGATTGATGATCTAGGATCACGTATCCTTGAAACTTACATGGTTTTAATTGAGTCTTTGACGCAATTACACTGCTATACCAGAGTCAGGCTGCAAGAATAACTGACTGTGGTCAGGGGCACATTTGCCAAGTGTGTTCTAACATAACAGAGGGTGTTTTCGCTGTGTTGGGAAAGATAAACAATTTCCATTTGGATTTGCAAATTGCTATTCCTGTCTAAAGGAGCAAACTGATAACGTTCCCAATCTCCTTTTAGGAATTTTGGGGAACACAACTCACAGGCAGAGGTACTCAGAGAGACACAAAGCCACAATCATGTAGAAGAAAAAGCCAACCCTGAAATGGTAAATTATTGACAGCTGGGCATTCGGCGGAGCGCACTGAAAGGAAAGTAGGCACTCTGCTGTAACCACAACAGATGCAGCCTGTTTCTAAAATCCAAGGCCAGGAGGCAGGTATTTTCTGCAATTAATAATAATGACACTGATATCAGGAAGTAACCATTCTGGCACAGACTGGAAGGGAACAAGAACAGCCTGGGACACAGAGATCGCAGGGGCCGGATAATGTGAGAAGAAAATGAGTCCCTACGGGATGAGACAAAGGCAACTCCTTGTCACATCTGACTAAGGGGTTTCACCAGTTCCTTAATGCCGGGAGACTGCAAGTTAATATCAGAAGCAGCCTGTTCATACTTCTTATTGTTGTTTGTAGGATTATGTTCACGCTAACTGCGTAATGAAGCATGTGTAACTGTCATTCTATGGCGCACAGTCATTGATTGGCAACCAATGTTTCCGTTGTCTTCATACTGCCCTGAGTTAGGGAGCCTCTTCAGGGGTTCCCGGAGACTGATCTCTGAAGCAGCTGGAACCTTCTGACTTCTGCAGGCCCCATTCTGGTTCCTGAACATTGTCCTAGGGGAAGACATTCCTAGCATGAAGTACTCCTGTCTGCATGTGCTACGTGTGACTCAGCTCTTGTTTTCAGAGTTGATAGTAGATCCAGTTTACTGCCTTGATATATTTATAGGTTCTATTATTCTTTTTGGTTTTTCCAGTGCTTTCTTGATGCTCTCACAGATCTCAGGAGATGTAACACAGGAGTAGGGAGACATACACAGTACCAAGAACTGAGTTCCTCCAGTGGCTTTTCTCTGAATAGAAAGAGAAGGGAAAGAAAACAAGAAGAGAGAAGGCATAGAAACATGTTTTTTTGGCCAGGTGCAGTGGCTCACACCTGTAATCCGAGTACTTTAGGAGGCTGAGGCGGGTGGATCATGAGGTCAGGAGTTCAAGAGCAGCCCGGCCAAGATGGTGAAACCCCATCTCTACTAAAAATACAAAAATTAGCCAGGTGTGGTGGTGGGCGTCTGTAATCCCAGCTATTTGGGAGGCTGAGGCAGGAGAATCGCTTGAACCCAGGAGGCAGAGGTTGCAGTGAGCCGAGATTGCACCACTGCACTCCAGCCTGGGCTACAGAGTGAGATTCTGTCTCACAAACAAACAGAAAAAAAGAAACTTTTTTTTTTTTTTGCCCCATGAGGTACATCCCTTCAAGCTTAGTAAAGCATGTATTCTTTTGAATTGTCTAGATCCTCCCTCCAATGTTTACAGACCCTGGTGCAGAGAAATTACTTTGCTAAGAGGACATGGGTTACTTTTCTCTGCAAATTCCTTTTTTGGGGGAATGGGAAGGGAGGGCTCAGGAAAGATGGGTAAGGTTAGGCTTATGTTCTGCAGTGACTGCTAACTGCCTTTTAGTTTTAGTTGATGGCTCTGCGGCCTGGCTTCTGAGACACGGTATCGCTCTAGTTGCTCAAGTTCAGAGTCACCACTGGTTTTCTGGATCGCTTCAGATGGGCCCTTTCTCTTAGCCTCTGTTTTGACATTGGTAAACTAGAAAATTCCAGGCCATTTCTTTGTGTGTTCTTCACGAGGATATAGGACAACCATTAAGGCTGTGTTCTAGAAAATAAAATACTTACTTTGGGTAATAGAGTCTAGATTTAATTTTCTGTGATGATTTCATAGATTCAAAAGGCAACTTGGAACATTTTTGCTTTGGTCCCCTCTATTCTGTACGACAGAACTCCCATCCAGAGTCAAGTCTCCCCAACCCCACCCCGTGACACTTGGCTGTTGCCATCAGCCTTTGTTGAAGTATCTTGTCAAGTCTAAATCTTAGACCTTTAGGTTCTTGTGCACCCCATTCAAAAATGATTCTATGTAGATGTGACTGTAATTAAACCTGCTTTTCCTTTACAGTGTTGTGAGATTGACATCTGAGCAGCATAAGTCCTTATTTTTCCCTTGACAGATTATTTTCTTTATTCAGATAAAGCCTGTGTTCTATTTTGAATGCTGGGAGAATGGAGATTTTCTTTTTTCCTTTGGAGTTTGAAGCAATTAGAGCCACAAATGAATTTTTCACATTAAGAGGGATGTTTTGTCTTCCGATCTGCACCTGCTCAACCCCATTTCCAGTTATTTGGAGGTTGTTGCACTAAAGAAGAGGAAATATTTATGCTGGGATGGAGGGAATCACTAATGGCTAATCAATAACTGTGGAGTTTTTCAAAACTCTAAAGAGACTCGGCACAGTGTTGGGATAAACAATGGGATCATTGAGTGGTGGTTTCCCTGGTGTGGGGTTCCTGGAAAGATCCAGAACTGATCATCAAACATCTCCACTTACATGTCTTTTAGTCATTTAAAATTCAGTAACAAATTTATTATTCTCCCTCACCTTTCTGCCTGCCCCCAAATTTACTTCTTCTGTATCTCCTCCAGGCTTTGTTAAGGTTGTTTAACATCCACAGTCTCAGAGCCAGAGAGTCCTAGTCTCTCCTTCCTCACCCTCTAGCATGGACACGGGTTGGCTTCTTACCCAATATCCATTCCTTCCCTCTCCTATTGCTCACAGTGCCCAGATTTCAATTTGTGGAATTACTCCTCTCCCACCTGCCTCCCTGGGTATTTGCTACACAGTTGCAGCAGAATTTACCCCTAGTCCACTTGGTGGACCCTGATTAGTCCAAGGCTTTTGAACAAATCCTTTAATGGTTTCATCTCTCTTGCCATGGAAATTGTCTTAGAGGTTGGCCCACATCATTCATTGTGTGGCCCTCCCCTGGCCCTGAGATTGGTTCTGACTGGTCCAAACAGAGTAAATGCATGGCTTTTGTGTGATGGTCGGAGAAAGGAAAACCTCTTTTTTTGCTTTGAAGAAGGTGATGCACAAATATGAGGTTGGGACAAGCTCAGCCCTTTGACGACCATGAAGAAACCCAGTAGGAGGACACAGACCATCACTGAGGGAGGCAGAGCCCAGTGCATCACAGAGAAAAAGAGTCAGGGCCCAAGGTCCCTCTCAGTGAAGCACATCTGAAGCCCACTTTACTGCTGCACTCTTCCCATCACATGAGCAAACCCATTTTCTTTATTGCTTATGCCAGTTTGTGTTGAATGTTCTGGTAATCAAAAGTATCCTTGGCTAATATATACCCTCGGTCATTTACAACAACCTCCCGATTTTGCTTCTTTCATAAATCTCAAGTTCAACCTGTCTCTACTATCCTTAGTGTCACTGGATAGTCACTATCTTATTTATTGGGACCCAACTTAATTTTAAATAACAGCTTTACCATTGAGAAACTTTCTAAGAATGCAGAAGCCCAGTAATTCAGAGGTTAGAAAGCTGACGGAGGACCCCCCAAATGATCATGTATGGGAGTGTTTTATATCCCATGGGCAGGTCTTCTGTAAATAAGGCCCTTCCAGGGCTCATTCTATGCTGGCTTCCCAGCATCATCCTCCCTGCCCCTTGCTTCATGCCACATGCTGCCGTCACACTGTGTTTTTTGCAGTTTCTCAAGTCCCAAATTCTTTTAAGACTTGTTATTTTTTTATTCCGTTGTATATTCTTATTGTCGTGTTTGGAAAGAAGTCCCTCCCTCTTCCACTGAAAAGAGTGCCAGTCATCCTGCAGCCCCTGTGGAACCTGGGAAGCTTCAGTCTGCCAAACTGGGACAGATGATGCAATTGATAGGGCTAAGTAGGACCAGGGATGAGACTAAGCTGACTCTAAGCCTAACCCAAGCTGTTGAGTCAATGCACAGATTGATAGACGGGTGTAGACAGGGCTTGGGAGCCATCAGAAATCTAGACAGGCCAGGGGTCAGAGCCAGAGGGTCTAGCAGAGTGATATGGTTTGGCTGTGTTCCCACCCAAATCTCATCTTGAACTGTAGCTCCTACAATTCCCACATGTTGTGGGACGGACCAAGTGGGAGGTAATTGAATCATGGGGGTGGGTCTTTCCCATGCTATTTTCATGATAGTGAATAAGTCTCACGAGATCTGATGGTTTTATAAAGGGGAGTTTCCCTGCACAAGTTCTCTTCTCTTGTCTGCCACCATGTAAGTAGTGCCTTTCACCTTCCACCATGATTGTGAGGCCTCCCCAGCCACATGGAACTGTGAGTCCATTAAACCTCTCTCTTTTGTAAATTATCTTTATCAGCAGTGTGAAAACAGACTAATACACAGAGTCAACAGAAGTCATTCAACAGAGGCCTAGTTAATGGTGCTCTATACAGGAGATGCACAACAGAGCCTGAATCCCAAAATTTCATGCTACAGGTGGGTAGCCCTGGGCCCAGCATGGTTACTTCTAAACGGGAGGCCAGGAGACAGGAAGAGAATCCTCTTCTTGATTGAGGGAGTGATAGGAAGATGCTGAAATGCATTTCAGCAGTCATCTTAACCCAGTGGATGAAGGGGATGGCTTAGAAATCAGAACTGCATGGAGAAGACTGCTCAGTTTTGTTTCTTATTTTCATAAGGAGTTTGTGAGACCACTGCAGGTACCTCCCTCCAAGGAATCCTAGGATCTGGGGATGGGGAGATGGGAATATGGGATGTGTGTGTGTGTGTGTGTGTGTGTGTTTTTTCTTTTTTTCAAAAACAGATTCTTGGGTTCTGGTTCTGTGACCTGGACTGGAGTACAATGGTATAGTCATAGCTCACTGGAACCTCAAACTTCTAGGCTCAAGCAGTCCTCCCACCTCAGCTCCCCAAGTAGCTGGGACTGCAGGCACACACCATCATACCTGGGAAAGTTTTGTTTTGTTTTGTTTTGAGAAAGAGGCTTGCTCTGTCACCCAGGCTGGAGTGCAGTGGTGTGATCTCGGCTCACTGCAACCTCTGCCTCCTGGGTTCAAGTGATTCTCCTGCCTCAGCCTCCTGAGTAGCTGGGACTACAGGCGCCCGCCACCATGCCCAGCTACTTTTTTGTATTTTTAGTAGAGACAGAGTTTCACCATGTTAGCCAGGATGGTCTTGATCTTGTGACCTCGTGATCCACCCACCTCGGCCTCCCAAAGTGCTGGGATTACAGGCGTGAGCCACCATGCCCAGCCAATGCCTGGGAAATTTTTAAATTTTTTGTAGAGACAGCATCTTGCTATGTTGCCCAGGTTGTTCTCGAACTCTGAGCCTGAAGTGATCCTCCCACCTCAGCCCCCCAAAGCGCTGGGATTACAGGTGGTGTGTGCCAACATGCCTGGCCAGGATGTGTATATTTTAAACAAGCTCGTCAAGTAATTCTGATGTTGCCTCTACTGCCCTTTGTGCTCCAGGATTGCCCCGGGGGGAGATCTTGCATCTGCTTGTATCTTTTTTATTTATATTTTTATTTATTTTTTTGAGACAGGGTCTCACTCTCACTCATGCTGGAGTGCAGTGGCATGATCTTGCCTCACTGTAGCCTCAACTGGGCTTAGGTGATTCTCCTACCTTGGCCTCCCAAGTAGCTGAGACTATAGGTGTGAGCTACCACACCTGGCTAATTTTTTGTATTTTTTGTAGAGATGGAGTTTTGATATGTTGCCCAGGCTGGTCTCAAATTCCTGGGCTCCACAATTTGCCTGCCTTAGTCTCTCAAAATGTTGGCATTACATGTGTGAGCCACTGTGCCCTGCCTCCTTGTATCTTTAGCTCTTCTGTCCCCATCTCCTCCCTATACTCATCTAACTATGCTCAGTCACTGCCTTTGCTTGTGCTATTTCAGAATATTCTTTTCCATCTTGCCCTTCTGGTTACCCCATGCATCCTGCTCCTTCCTAGCATCCACTAAAGCATTCTACTCTTAATTCCATCTCCAAACTTTCTCTCCATGCTTAACCCTGGGTTAAGCTCCACACTCCCTTTTGTCACCACAGTAACTTGATACTCCCCTTCAGAACTCATATTTAGCCTTGTTATTATTGTTTGTTTGCTTCCCTTCTGAAACCTTGAAGAGCCAAGACTATGCTTTTTCATCTTAGGAGCCATAGCTGTGCCTGCTGCATAGCAGGCTCAATGGCTGTGGAAGTGCATGGATACCCGTAAACAAATGGAATCCAATGGAACGAAGGCCAGAAGGGTGCTTTGTAATCCACAAGGTGCAGTAAAGGTGTACCATATTATTATTATTGCTAGTCAATAAGACAGAAACCTCTAAAAGTCTTCAAGTTCTGCTTTCTCTTGGATACCTAGCTTGATTCTTCCCCAGACAGAATCAATGACTCCATTCTTGGAACTCCTTCAGTATGCTGCATTAGGCAGTTTTTTTCCAGGATGCTTTATGCAAATTACCATTTATATCTCATGTGCCAGTCTCCCTCACTAGACAGGAAAGTCCTTTAGGAGAGGGATGGGATGCATTAATCCTGGGGACCCTTCTCAGAACGCTCTTAAGTGCTTTGAACATTAATATTAGTTGACTTCCTGCCCTCTTCCCTCCCCAGGGCAAATATCTTCATCTGCACCCACCTTCTCCCCTTCCAGTCTCAGATGAAGCAGCCAGCCTCCTCTGTTCTATTCTCCTGTGCCCTGGGAAGTTGAAGATGAAAGTGGATCCTGTGCTCTCTTTAATCACTGGCAGCTAATGTGTCCATGCAACGGATAAATGCGAGAAGTCTCTTCGCCTCCCTGAAGAGAAGCCTTCATGCTCATGCTGTCTTAGTAAAAAGGATGTGGAGAAACTGGGGACCCATTGGGAGAAGCAGGACAGAGAAGAGAAAAGGGGCTGTATTGAGGAGAGCACTTCCAGAGTAGCCAAGGGAACCGAGGAAGGATTTGCTGGCATCTGTGCAGCCCCGGAAGCATGCCTGACTGAGAAAAGACTGGGCCTGGGATTAGGTGGATTTAATTAGAACGGGCACAGCCTTGCTGGAGCAACCTCCGATGCTGACCTCTGTATCTGGCCTGAGATTTGGTGCTTGCCTGCGCTTAAGTACAGATACCTTGGTTTTTGATCCTGTCTGCTTGTCAGGAGGTAGTGCTGTTTTCCTCAAGTGTTAGGCTTGTGTGGCTACGGAGAACTGGTGACTGTCCAGGGAGGAGGCAGTGGCTGGAGGGGAAGGGCCACATTCCCAAGGCCTTTGTCACAAATAGAACCCAGAGCCTCTGGGATGGCAGGGGAGGCAGGAGTTGACCGGCACTGCAGGGCATCTCAGGACTCTGGGGCAGGAAGGAACCTTAGAGCCTACACAGTACACTGTTTAATGGATAGGGACACTTGCAGGTAAGACCCGGAGAGCTTAAGTGATTTACCCAAAGTCATTCAGAGAAGCAGGACCTCAAGAAAAGACCCGGGCTTAGCCCACAGCTTGAGCTTTGCCCACACCACTGCAGCCCGGGTATCTGTGTAGACAAATGCACTTCATGGAGGTCAACCCAAGGGCCTCCCTCCATCCTCGAGGGCCAAGAGTCCACGGATGGGTCAGGGGAGAAGCTTACTTGGACCAGAAAGACATGAGGGTGGGTGGGGGAGGGGTCACCCTTTGCTCCAGTGGGTTAGTGCTCATCTATCTTACCCAGCAATTTATTAGCTCAGTTCTATTACCATGGGCTAATTGTCTCCTCATGATGAATAGGGCTGCTTTCCTCCTCTCCTCTGCCTGCCCCCTCCCTCCTCCCTCAATCCCTCCTCCGTTCCTTGTTTTCCCCCTCCCTCTCTGCCTCCCTCCTGGTTTCTTTCTTGAACACCACTCTTGTGGTGGACATTGTGCACTGTGGCTCCAGAGTTGAAAAAGATCCATTTCTGTTCTCCAGGAACACACAGTAAAGAGGGGAGGACATGAGCAGGGGGTTGGGTGCTGTTCGGGGACGAGTCTTGTACTCAGGGATAATACAAGAGAATTTCTAAGATAGCTCCGGAAAGAAAACGACATGCCCTTAAGGCCACCTTCACTATTCACTCTGAGAACCCCTTCCATATGGTGCCTGCACACATAGATACATTTTCCTCTCTTCGTTGATGCCTCCTTGAATTTATTTATTGTTTGACCTTCCTCAAACTTTCATCTACATTCATGCCTTTTTACAAACAACAAGCACGCTGAAAGACCATGCACACAGACACTCCTGTGTGGAATGACCGCCCCATGCAAATACATGTGGCCCCACAAACATTCGAGGGTACAGATGTACACAAAGGATGGTCTGGATATGTACGCAAGTTGATGCTTGCACATAGATATGAGCAGAACTACATAAACACACATGTAAATGCATGTATGAAAAAAGCTGTATCAATATGTGCTGAAAGATTTTTGGCTTGAGGAAAGTCATTTCAGTGCTTTGTTAAAACAATGACAACAAAACAGACTTGAGGCAGCTTGGCCAGCTTTTGAGTGATTTATAACTCTGATTGCCTTGACTTTGACGGCAGAGTTCATTCAGAGAAAACACTTGGGGAAAAGCAGGGGACATCAAAAAAATCAGTAGACACCTGGTTGATCCTCTCAGAGGAGAGGAATCCAGAGTGCATGGCTTCATCTGGGGTCCCTTGGTGCTTTGTACAAATCTCTGCTAGAAACCCTTCTCTGTGTTGCAACCACTGGTTCATCAAATCGTTTTCCCCACTAGACTGTAGGCTCCTTAGAGGCAACCTCAGTGTGGGAGTCATCTTGATGTTCTCAGCCCTGAGCGCAGTTCCTGACAGTAGAGGTTCAATAAATGTTTGTTGACCTAGAGGATTAATTGCTCTAACTAAAATGAGTAGACAGGGAGCACACAAGGCCACTCCTTAATTTTGGTGTTTTTCCCTCTGTGTTAGTCTGTTTAGCACTACTATAAAGGAATACCTGGGTGATTTATAAAGAAAAATGGTTTCTTTGACTCATGGTTCTGTGGGCTGCAGGCATCTGCTTGGCCTTCAGTGAGGACCTCGGGAAGCTTTTACTCATGGCAGAAGGCAAAGGGAACCAGTGTGTCACATGGCAAGAGAAGGCACAGGAGGTGGGGGGAGGTGTCATGCTCTGTTAAACAACCGGCTCTCACTGATCTAATAGAGTGAAAACTCACTCATTTCCCTGAGGATGACACTAAGATGTACATGAAGCATCTGCCCCTGTGACACAAACACCTCCCACTAGGTCCCATCTCCGATAGTAGAAATCAAATTATGACATGAGATTTGAAAGGGAGAAATTTCCAAACCATATCTCCCTCTCTCTCAGTGTGGAAAGTAGCATGGTTGGGATCCCTGAGCCTTTATTTCAACCTCTGTTCCTCTAGAGTCCCTATTATTCTAGAGTCTGGGAAGCTAAGAATGACACTCCCGAAATCCCTTGCAGCTACATCTCTGGTTGTGATGTACATGATATCAACCAGCTACACTAGGGGGAGACTTGAATTTGGAGCTGAGAAGGGTAGGGGACTGGATTGCAGCAATGCGGGGTTGCTTTGGATTCATTGGTTGTAGTGGTAGCTTTCCGATTGGACTAGGAATTTCCTGATTGTGGCAGGAAACTTAGTGGTACAGTTCCATGCTGTAATTTTGGAGTTGCTTCTGGTAGCTTAGTGATATGGTTTGGCTGTGTCCCCACTCAACTCTTGTCTTGAATTGTTGTTCCCATAATCCCCATGTGTCATGAGAGGGACCCAGTGGGGGTAATTTAATCATGGGGACAGTTACCTCCATGTTGTTCTTATGATAGTGAGTGAGTTCTCGCGAGATCTGGGGGCTTCCCCACACACTTCACTCTGCACTTCTCCTTCCTGCCATCATGTGAAGAAGGATGTATTTGCTTCACCTTTCACCATGATTGTAAGTTTCTTGAGGCCTCCCCAGCCCTGCTGAACTGTGAGTCAATTAAACTTCTTGCCTTTATAAATTACCCAGTCTCGGGTAAGTTTTTATTAGCAGTGTGAGAATGGACTAATACACTCAGTGTAGAGCCTATCTTCAATACAGTGAGCCATGCATATGATTCCTTGTTGTAAATCCCTTCCTGTTAAAACTGGGGAAAGTAGATTGTGCTTTTTATGAATTATCCTGATGAATACACAATCACAGGGATAGGTGCCATCAGTGCCTGCATTTTAGGGAAGCCAGAGTGTTCGTGTATCCATTAGCCTTCTCATTAGTGTGTCCATGTGGAAAAGTTATAAGAGGTACAAAGACCACCCCTCTTCTTACATAATACAATCTGCCTTATGCTATTGGAGGTTCATCAATGAGAAAGACCAGTTTGCTTAAAGTCTGGAATTGGAGAGACAGAAAGAAAGCTAGCAGCTAGGATGCAGCCCCAGTATGACTGCAACAGAAAATGGCAGTCAGCCACACAGTGGGAGCCACAGCAGGCAGGCATGCAGGAGAGTGGTTTGGACTGAATGTTCCCTCCCAAATTCACTTCTTGAGGCCCTAGTTCCCAAGGTGGTGGTGTTTGAAGATGGGGCCTCTGGGAGGTAATTGGGTGTGGAGGAGGTCATAGGGTAGAACCCCCATGGTGGGACTGGTGTCCTTATAAAGAGATGACCTAACCAGAGCTCACTTGCTGCCTCTGCTCTGTGAGGATACAGAGAGAAGACGACTGCCTACAAGCCAGGAAGCAACCCTCACCAGACATTGGATCTGCAGGCACCTTGATCTTGGACTTCCCAGCCTCCAGAATTGGGAGTAGCAAATGTTTCTCACAATATAAGGAGAATATGGACAGAAAACAAACAATTAAATATATAATACATCAGGTCATTTCACTGATAGTTTAATAATGTACTTTTGCCTCCATTTTTCAGGGAGTTTGAAAGGACCTTGTGGGCAAAGGTCTACAATTTTGTGAACCTTATAATGACCAGCACTAGATGCACAGTAAATAATAGATCCATGCCTGTTTGCTTATTACTTGAGGTTGGCTGAACTTGCATGGCAAGATAGAGGGATACAAAAATTAGGCTTTGTTTACATAAACCGAAATGCTATGGACAACTGGCCTCTCACTGGGGTGGAAGTCATATCTCTAAGATTCCTTCCAGCACCAAGATCTATGATTTTTTTTCTTGTGAAGCACCATGATTGTTTTAAAAATCAAATGGTACAAATATAAGCTGAACATATATAACATTTATTTCATCATGACTTGGTTGAGGAACAATATAAAAAGGAAAGAGAAGAAATGTTATTAAAGTCTTATAAGCACTATCCCAAATGGACTACTCTAAGATGTTCTATTATTCCATACTCTCCCCTTTAAAATGGATTTTTCCCCTACAAACCTGCATAAATATTGCTTTATAGCCATTTTCTTTGTATATCTATATATCATTAAAACTTTATTGCTTTAATACAAAATTGTATGTTTCTTCTGATTACAACCAAGCAAAATTATGTGTGCACATGGACAAGGGCCAGAAGAGAAAAAGCAAAAGGGGAGTCAGTTATTGGGTGAAGGTTGTGAGGCTAAGGGTAGTTCTTTTTTTCTCCTTTAGATGTTTCTTCAGTGTGATTATGTAACATTTAAACAAGACTATACCATACTATTGACTAGGTTTGAAAAAATAATAAAATGTTTCTCCAACCGAAAAGAGTTCAAAACACGGCAGTATGACCCAGAGAACCCTGACCCATATGTCAAAATGCTGCTGGCCTCAATGATGCCAGCTGGGATGTGTCCTTGTGCGCCTCTGCACACCTAGAAGACACAGGAAGGATTTGCCATGTCTTAGTCTCCCAGATCCAAGGTCCTGGCATCAGAAGGGCCTCAGAATTCCTTAGCCCTGTCCACACTCAGAGAAAGCCCTGGGCAGGGAGGCCCCCCGCGGAGACCCAGGTGTCAGTCATTGTCATTCAAGAAACCTTCCTATCCCTGTTTGTGCTTCTCATTCGATTCTGCAGTCCTGACCCTACCATTTTGCTATCGTTTTTCTTCCTCCTCCCCAAAGACTCAACACAAGGAGCCAGGGACTGTGAGCCTGGAGAAACCCAGCTTCCAGTCTTGGTTCTGCCACTCACCCTCAGAGTGTCCTCTGAGCAAACCACAGAAGCTCCCAGGGTCCCAGTTTCTCATGTGTAAAAATGGGGGTGTTACACCAAGTGATCTCTAAAACCCTTTCATTTCTGGTATTCCAGGACTCTATGATTCTAAAAACGGAAGAAGACAGCCATGCATTTTGTTCAACCAGCAGAACTTCGGGGCTCAATCCAAGAATATTCTTGTTGTGGCTACCAGAGAGGCTCCATACCCAGAAACTCGACTGAGGCACACTATCTGGTCTCTTCAAATCATCAGTGCCTCCTTTTCTTTTCTTTTCTTTTTTTTTTTTTTTTGAGACAGGGTCTCACTCCGACACCCAAGCTGGAGTACAGTGGCTTCATCATAGCTCAATGCAGCCTTGGCCTCCTGGGCTCAGGTGATTCTCTCACCTCAACCTCCAAGTAGCTGGCATTACAGGCACACACCACCATGCCTGACTAATTTTTACATTTTTGTAGAGACAGGATTTTGTCATGTTGCCTAGGATGGTCTTGAACTTCTGGGCTCAACCCAACCTCCCACCGCGGCCTCCTCCTTGCTTTAAAAATATTTTTACACCTGTAATCCCAGCACTTTGGGAGGCCAAGGCAGGCGGATCACTTGATGTCAGAAGTTCGAGACCAGTCTGGCCAACATGGTGAAACCCTGTCTCTACTAAAAATAAGAAAAATTAAAAATAGCCAGGTGTGGTGGTGGGTGCCTCTAATCCCAGCTACCCAGGAGGCTGAGGCAGGAGAATTGGTTGAGCCTGGGAGGTGGAGGTTGCAGTGAGCCGAGGTCGCAGCACTGCACTCCAGTGAAGGCAGCAAAGAGAAGCTCAGTCTCAAAAAAAAATTATTGTTTATTTTTACTCCTGTTTAAAAACAGAGTCTTGCTCCATCATCCAGGCTAGAATGCAATGGTGAAATCATAGCTTACTACAGCCTGAAATTCCTGGCCTCAAGTGATCCGCCTATCTCAGCCTTCAGAGTAGTTGGAACTGCAGGCATCTGCCATCATGTCCAGCTAATTAAACAAAAAATTTTAAAGACAGGGTCTCTGCTATGTTGCTCAGGCTGATCTCGAACTTCTGGACTCAAGCGATCCTTCCGCCTCGGCCTCCCAAGGTGTTGGGGTTTCAGGCATAAGCCACTGCACCTGGACTTCCTTACAGCATTGTTAGATAAACTTGGACTTATCCAATTAAGTAATTCTACTATTAACTCGCATAGCTAGGAACTTTGAACTTCTTATGTAAACATATACACAAGGCATCTGGCAATGCAAGTTTGTAAAGATGAGAAGGCAAAGACTTTAACTGGAGGTGCAGTGGGAGGGAAAGGGGAGGAGTAGTTGGCATGTATTGGGCATTTTTAATGGCAAGTTCCAGAAACTCAATTTAAAAGCAGACTTTATTGGCTCACATAGTAAAAAATTAATTTCCGTATTCAGCTTAACCAAGGGATTCTAGCGATATTGTTGGATCTGGATTGTCCTCTTTTCTTGGTTTCCTGAGCTTGGTTCCTTTGTCACCTTCACTCTTGGGCAGTCCTCCAATCATGGCAGCCTCACTCCCCAAAGATAACCACGTTTTTCCCAACCATCCCTGTTTTGGTGCCTTTGGTTAGTCACTTTTATAGTCTCTAAAATAAATAACAATATAAACAACCTTCTATTCCTGCTTCTTGATGAATCAGTATAAGTTTCTTTCCACGATGGAGGAAGGTCAGACCATTCATATTCTGCCTGGCTCAACAGAGTTCTATCACGATGCTTGGTTTCTTCTTCTCTGGGACACTTGTGCAGCCTGTAAAAACATCCTTACACTTCATGTCTTATTTTGTCCACTGTATCCTGATTCTTCACTCTGTAAGGCAAGGAAACTTCTGCTCACATCCTTCCTTCTGCCTCGCCCCACTTCCTGTCACTTCAAGGTTGGTACCTGCTTCATTATATTCTGTAACCATCATAGATTTGCCCAGGATTTCTCTATATGTGTATTTTATAAGCAATAAACAACTGTTAGGCCAGGTGTAGTGGCTCATGCCTGTAATCCCAGCACTTTGGGAGACTGAAACAGGTGGATCACCTGAGGTCAGGAGTTCAAGAACAGCCTGACCAATATGGTAAAACCCCATCTCTACTAAAAATACAAATATTAGCTGGGTGTGGTGGTGCGTGCCTATAGTCCCAGCTACTTGGGAGGCTGAGGCAGGAGAATCGCTTGAACCCAGGTGATGGAGGTTGCAGTGAGCCAAGATCATGCCACTGCACTCCAGCCTGGGCAACAGAGTGAGACTCCACCTCAAAAAAAAAAATAAAATAAAAAATAAAGTGTTATTTATATTACTATAAGCATGTAAATATTGTTTACTGACGTGCACATTACTACACTAGGGTTTATTCTCTGTAGGTCTAATGTTATCACTACTCTGGCTTTCAATGGAGATTGTGCCTAACATTTAGTTCAAATAGATTTTTTTAATACTCTAGTACTTGCCTTTATCAAAGCCTCAACTTTTTCTAACTTTAAATCAAACTTTTCTTGTTGCTGTTAATTCCCAGAACCATCTTTCTGTTCTAATCTAGATCTCTACTCACTGCTCTCTGGAATTGGATTTGGTTGGTCTCCTGGATCCATGACTTATTTCTTATTTTGTACTCTTATTTTATGTGGGCTGTAATTTCAGGTAACTCCCTAAGAAAGGGATTATGAGAGGTAAACTTTGGACTCCTTGCCTACTTTGAACTGTCCATTTTACCTTCATCTTGGATATAGAATTCTAAGTTGGAAATAATTTTCCTCTAGAGCTTGCTCCCTTGCATCCCCAAT